ATTATATATCTACCACAATTTCCTGAGTTGCTAGGTAATTACCTCCATCATTTACAATGCAAAGAAAATGTGAATGGATTGTGGAGAAATAAATTTGAGAACTAGTAATCAAAAACACCTTCAACCCTCCTGATGACTATTAAATCTTAAGCTTTAAATGTGCATCAATCTGTGATTGTCTTTCCATGAGTCTTATGTTTTTTTCTTCTTGTTGAGGGTTACAAGGGCCACTCACAGCTTTCACTTATCAAGCTCTGCTTCTTAACCCTTTGACTGTCGCAACCCTCAATCCTGAGGTGTCTCCTGGTGTCGCAAAATTTAAAAAAAAAAAAAAATATTTTTTTTTATGAAATGATAGAGAATCTTTTCCCGATTGTAATGACACCAAAAAAACGAAATTTGATGGAAAACTGACGGAATTATGCTCTCGTGAAGTTAGCGACCTCGGCGCTGTTTACAAATCTGCGATTTCGCCCACTTTGAGCCCTATTTTCGGCTAATTCCATTGTTCCAGTTGCCCAAACTCATAGCTATCTCTTTAGAACTCCATTTTTTCTATCGATTGAGTACAAGAAACTGCCCATTTACCGATTTGAACTACCTAATAATGTGGTCAGAAATTTGCAATTTGGCCAATTTCACAAAAACTAAAAAATATGACAATTTCAAAATAAGGTCCAGAATGAACAATGCAGACATTCCTGGCTCTAAAATAAGATTTTCTTTGCTCATCAGTCATGTCTCCAGGCCCCTCTGATATTACTCTTGCTTTCTATTTTGAATTTTTATTCAAACAAAAAATAGAAGACTTACTATTATGCAGACTACTGCAATACTGTAATAATTGTATAAATAACATCAACCCATTCATGACTGCATATCAGAATGGCTAGTTGGACATTTATTGGACAATGGCATCATTTGTTTATTTTTGAACATTGGCAAAAATCAAACATTCCCCCTACTTTGAGCTCCATTTCTAGGTTCTTTTTATAGTAAAATCAATCAAAATCACATCTATTTCTATAATATGTTTTCCATTCTATCAAACGAGACCAAGAAAACGAGAATACAACCATAAATACTATACAAAAATAGACCACAAAGTCGGCATTTTAATTAAAAAAAACGGTCGGAGTTTTTTTTTTCTCATTATGCACTGCGTGCTCCAGGATTTTTTTTATATGGTGCACACTGACCACACATACCCATTCTCTCACATGTGGGCCTACCAGCTTTCTCCTGTTTGATTTGAAGCCGCTAGAATTTATGAGTATATATACGTCAAACACGGTACCTTGTAAGACGTATATATACGGCCGCGACAGTCAAAGGGTTAATGTACAGAGAAGAAATAATACCCAAAGTTGGGCAATGACAGGAAAGGAAACAGGACTTTCCTTTGCATATAGAAACAGGAACAAAATATTCCAAGTCAGGTCAGATGGAGCCCATACCAAAGCCCCAGCAGAGTGGGAGACCTACTCCCTCACCTGAGTTCAGTAGCTTACCTCTTGCCAAAACTTGTGAAACATGCATAAAGTGGAAAAATGAAGTTGATGAATGGTGCCAGCTGACCCAGTGGATAACGCATCTGTCTGGAGTTTTATGAATCTCTGACTGCGGGTTCAAGCCCCACCTGTGGTATGGTTTGTTTGCAATTGTGTCACTATGATTTCGTGAGCCCCTATAATAATGTGCCCACTGGGTATAATAAGGTGAGGACAAGTGTCCCATATAGAATGGGAGAAATTTGTCACTGATGTGAGATCACAACACCCCCATACCAAGGCTGGTACTGAAGTCGTATCTTATTTCTCTCTGGTGTATGAAAAAGTACAATGTGTACTTTTTCAAATTTAAACAAACATTTGTCAATGCATACCTCTATGATCATCTTCCTGTGAGTCTTATTTCTCTCACGGTGGTTTGCGTTCTTCTGAATCTGTTGTAGTACATGCTCTTGGCAGGTCCTGTACTCCAGGGCAAAACTCACTTATTGTTGAGCACACTTGTTGAACCTTAATGTCCTGGGCTAAGTGTAGCGGTGAAACCAACCACACTAGAAACAGATGAAATCTGTAAACAAACATTTTGCTGCACCAAAGTTAGAAAAATTACATTAACCAAAGCTTTGTTATACTTCATTAATCTATCAAGAAAGACCGACAGAGCAAGACTGTGAAAGAGTAAATAATTCTTTATTAAAACTGGTTAATTTACTTACATAAAGGTGTTCATGTTGTAATATTGTTGACATTGTAAAACAGAAACATTCTATTATTCCTGGGTCACCAATGATTCAAAGAAAGCACATTCACCAACATTCACTCAACTGTCATCTTTCCAGAAGTGCTGACATTACAGAGTATATACTCTGACTGCAACATCTCCACCCCTCCAGAGTGCAGACACTGCCCTTTCCACCTCCAGGACTCAAGTCCAGCTCACTGGTTTCCCTGAATAACTTCATAAAAATTTATGCAGAAAAAGCCACATGGGGATGGAAATCTTTAGCTCAAGATTTTTCAGTCTTGTTACGCAATATTGCAAAACTAGCAACAGATAGTAGGGGAAAAATTCTCTGAGGGGAAGCAGAAGTAAAGTGCCAGGTCACGTCACAGTGACTTATTCTGCACTGTTAACATCATCTGTTTGTCATTGTATTTCATAAAATTTTGTATTATTAAAAATCCTTATTGATATCTAAAAATCTGACCGTCTTGATATTTTCTTATAATGGTGCTAGACATTCAATACTGCTTCTGTGTTCCTTACCCAGTCATCAGTCATCACTTACCCAGTCATCACTCGCTGATAAATAATTTCCAGAACAAATGTACACTCTGCACAGTCTGCTACAAACTCTGACATTCTGAAACACAAAGATGAAAAAGTTAGTGTTCATCTGTCTCCCACTCAGCAGAGGCTCACACTCCAACAGCACATCAAGTATTAAAAACCATTTATCTCAATTCACTCCTATCAAATATGCTCATGCATGCTTGCTGGAAGTCTAAGCCCCTCGCACACAAAACCTCCTTTACCCCCTCTCTCCAACCATACTATTCCTAGGCCGATCCCTACCCTGCCTTCCCTCCACAACAGATTTATACACTCTTGAAGTCATTCTGTTATGTTCCATTCTCTCTACATTTCCAAACCACCTCAACAACCCTTCCTCAGCCTTCTGGACAACAGTTTTGGCAATCCCGCACCTCCTCCTAACTTCCAAACTACGAATTCTCTGCATTATATTCACACCACACATTGCCCTCAGACATGACATCTCCACTGCCTCCAGCCTTCTCCTCGCTGCAACATTCATCACCCATGCTTCACACTGCCTCCAGCCTTCTCCTCGCTGCAACATTCATCACCCATGCTTCACACTCATATAAGTGTGTTGGTAAAACTATACTCTTATACATTCCACTCTTTGCTTCCAAGGACAAAGTTCTTTGTCTATCTTTGTTTATTACTTAACATGAATTAAACATTTTATGGAATAATGTTAAAAAATAACACATAAATAACCATTTAAGTAACATTTATGAAGGGATTCAGGGAAATCGGTAGGCCGGACTTAATTCCTGGAGATGGGAAGTACAGTGCCGGCACTCTGAAGGAGGGGTGTTAATGTTGCAGTTTTATAACTGTAGTGTAAGCATGCCTCTGGCAAGACAGTGATGGAGTGAATGTTGATGAAAGTACTCTACTGTACACCTAATATAGCACTGTACACACAATGTACAATTTTTGTTACAATAAACATTAAAAATTAAGGAATCAGAAGTACAGTTTAGCAAGTGAATTTTGTCTATTATTTTAAATCTCTTTATATTTAGTGTCCACCAGCACTGTTTAGGCTGACAGTACAGATGCAGAGTGAGTTCTTATTATGGAGTTAATCTTTATCAAGTTATATTCAACCAAGGTTTGTTATGAACCAGGTCTCTTTCTGCCATACTTGTAGGCATTACCTACAATGTGGAAAAAGACATTTATGTACAGTCCAGGACACTTGGAAACACACTGGTAATCATTAAGTTTCCCGTAGCTCAATTCGTAGTGCACTCAACTCACACACTGAGGTCCGGGGGTCGATCCCTGGTACAGGTGGAAACATCAGGACATGTTTCCTAAGACACCTGTTGTTCATGTTCACCTAGCAGCAAAATAGGCACCTAGGTATTAGTCAACTGGTGTGGGTCACATCCTGGGACAAAAGTGACTTAATATGCCCAAAATGCTCTGCATAACAAAGGGATTTCTATATACATAGTAGTATGTCAGTGATGTTAGCTATGGTCTGTATGTCTTGTACATGTATTTGTAGAAATAAAGATTATTATTATTATTATTCATTCAACAGGTGTCTATGTATAGTCCATAACACTTGTAGACACACTGGTAATCATTCATTCAACAGCTGTCTTGCAAGTGTACAGACACCACAGTTTAAATGAACCCCTGAACTGCAACATCCCCACTTACTGTCCTGGTAAATATCCCAACCTGGGTCTTAATCCACTACTGTCCCACTCACTGGTTCACTGGAACACACTGCAAGGAAACACAAACTGCTTAATAAAACCTCAGTTTATGCAGTGTTTCACTAACACAAATACTATGACAATGAACAAGATATTACAAGGATCCTAATTGAAATAAGTAATTTTGACTTTTCTGGGTTATCCTGGGTGATTTACACACCTATTACTTGGTATGATAATTGTACTTATGTGTACCTGTACATAAATAAACTTACCTTCTCAATGTTGTGGAAGAAAGTCATAATATTTACAGAATGCTTTTACCTACAAGATCATTCAGCAGTCTTCTCCAAAACAAGGTACCATACATACACTCATTCATATTAACACTCATACCTGTCAATAATAAAGTATATGCACAATAAAACTTCCAACCTTTAAAAATAAAAAAAACATTTACACTAGCAGGTTCATAATAACAATTACTGTAAATACACAATATATACACCACACAAGTACCTTCTGGTAATTATAAAAATCACATCTTAGGCAAACTGGTCTCAGTGCAGTGGAACAATGTAAATTAGCATTAATAGCCATCTTACTTGAGCTTAATCTGTGTAGGACCATCATGTTTTACAATGGCTTTTAGATGATCCCATGATTCTTTACAGTCGACCTCTATCTTGGCAATGTTATTAGACAGCTCCTCGAAGTCCACCTTCGAGACACGGGTGATTGAGTCAATCTACAGGAAAAAATGCAAGTGGTTAATTTGCACTTGATGTATAAGACAGTGGTTCAGTGGTTCCCAACCTTCCCTGCATCATGACCCACCTTGACACTTCAAAAAATCTCATGTCCCCTGATAAAAAAAATAAATTTCAATGTTGAATCCGACACTTCTTTATCTAAAACTCTATTTGTACCTCAGCTATAGCTAGTAAGACTCATTTAATGTTAAACACTTCAGAATCAGGAAAATTGGTTCCCTGATTGAACCATGTAGTGATGGCTGGCAGCCATGCATTATTATGCCCATATAAGAAGTGTGGACAACACAAGACTTGCAAGATCAATCTGAGTGAGGGGAAATAAACTGTGACGGAACATTATTGACTATCACACAGCACTGAAATGTAAACTCGTGGTCAGACCGTGTAATCTCGTGCTCAAACAGTCAACAAGGAGAACTGAAGCAAATATACAGTGTTTTATATGACAATAAAAGGCAACTAAAATGTCAGGAGCAAGAGGCTAGTGATCCTTTCTCCTGTATATATTACTAAATGTAAAAAGAAGAAAAACTTTTGTTTTTCTCTTTGGGTCACCCTGCATCAATGGGATGCAGCTGGTTTGTTGAAAGAAGAAGAATACAACTACTACTACTACTACTAATAATAATAATAACAACAACAATTGCTCTAGAGTAGTTTAAATGTTAGCTACTAAACTTGTACAAAATACGTATGACATTTATACAGCAAAGTGATGTCTCAGCGTCAAGTAACTCAGACTTCGTCCTACAGACACCCAGCTTTCACTGTCTCCAAGAATACGTATTTGTACAAATTTGCACTTTATTGTGCATCCCATAGTACAAGATGTCAGTGAAAAGGAAGATCTTGACTTCACCTGAAGGAAGTGCTAAGAACCAAAGGGAGGCTCTTGATCTTGAGGTGAAAATGGTTATAAATGAGTATGAAGCTGGTAAGAAAGTACAAGTGATAGCCGATGACTTAAAGGTGGCGAATTCTACCATTTCCACTATCTTGAAGGATAAAGATAGAGTGAAAGAGGCAGTGAAAGCATCGACAGGATTTCAAGCCATAATAACTAGGCAGCAGAAAGGCCTCATTCAAGAACTGGAGAAATTACTGGTGATGTGGTTTGACTATCAGATACAAAAAAGAATGCCGATGAGCCTTTCAATTATTCAAGCCAAGGCACACAGTATCTTTGAGACTTTGAAGGCAGGTGAAGGTGAGGAATCAACAGAAACATTTACGGCAAGTCATGGATGAATAAAAAGTTTGATTAAATAATGTAGAAGCATGAAAAAGCTACCCAAATTAATAAAAACTGACATATATGGAGAGGCACTGGAGGATGTGTGAGGCTGGGGTATACAAGAGAGTGGAGAAGGCACCAGCAGTCTCAGTAATTCATGCTTCACCATGATGTACAGACATGTAAGCTCAAGGGACTATACAATATTGTATAATTATACTATTACTATCAATAAAGGTTATCTACCTATCACATCCATTCCAGACTAATATTAGGTATAACACAAATAAAGTAGAAGCAGGATAAAGATGCCCAAATTAATAAAAACTGATATTATATAGAGAGGTATTGAAGAGTGGAGGGCAGAGAGGGATAAAAACAAAAAAAAAGTGACCGTGACCATAATAATAAACAGATTGAAAGGAATTTTCCAACAAACATAAAACCGAATGTTTTAATTTTTGGGTGGTGACACTTTTGAAGTGTCGGTACGGGTCATTTATTTATTTATTTATTTATTTATTTATTTATTAATTTGAACATGATACAGTGAAGTACAAAGTTATTACAGTGCAACATGCCAAAGCCCCTTGTATGCAGAGCATTATGAGCAGGCTTAAAATTAACTTAAGATTAACTAAGCAATGATATATTCAGTGGTAAATACATTATTGTAAACAGATAACAATTTAGCGCAAATGAGTATTACAAAGACAGGTCATATGGTCATTTACTGTGTTGCTGAGCATTCTGTAGATTGGAGTACAGTGGACCCCTGGTTAACGATATTTTTCCATTCCAGAAGTATGTTCAGGTGCCAGTACTGACCGAATTTGTTCCCATAAGAAATATTGTGAAGTAAATTAGTCCATTTCAGACTCCAAACATAAATGTACAAACGCACTTACATAAATACATTACATAATTGGTCGCATTGGAAGGTGATCGTTAAGCGGGGGTCCACTGTATTCTGTTAGGTAATGTAATTAAAAAATAAAGTTTGATTGGGTCACAGGTTAGACATTTATGAGATACAATAATGAGAAACATTTACGAGATACAATTTATGAGATACAATTATTCAGCATTTTTTTTAGTTGTGGGTAAATGATTTTTGAGAAGAGACTTGAATTTTTTAAACAGACAGTGTTTCTTTTATATTCACAGGTAATGAATTCCAGATTTTAGGTCATTCCTTGATTAGCGATGAAATTGTTTACCGACAGGGTCTTAGGCCCCTATCTCCGTTGTTAAGTGAAGAGAGGCTGTATTTACCTTGCACCCTATATTAAGACTACAAATATTTTAAGGTAGGTAATGAGTGTACACTATATGCATTTTATCACTCTAGGGCTCTTTAAATGTCGAAGTATATTATGTGTGGGTGCGGTGGGGGTGGCCTGGCTGGCTACCATACCTAACTTCTTACAATAAACACTACTCACTTCTCACCCTACATTAAGACTACAAACATTTTGAGGTAAGTAATGAGTGTACTGTGTGTGTATTTTACTTTTATTGTTTTTTAATGCCTTGTTCTATTGCTAACTTAATATATGTTAGTGTAAACTTCTTCTTTCAACAAACAGGCTGCATCCCACCAAATCAGGGTGGCCCAAAAAGAAAAACGAAAGCTTCTCTTTTTCAACTTTAGTAATGTATACAGGAGAAGGGGTTACTAGCCCCATACTCCAGGCATTTTAGTGGCCTCTTGCGACATGCATGGCTTACAGAGGAAGAATTCTGTTCCACTTCCCCATGGAGAAGTGTAAACTTATCTGACATAATTGGAAACAAATGACGTTCTGCTTTCCTGCGATATCCACTTTCTGACAGTAGCCTGAAACCTAACCTGCTGTATAAGTGGAGCCCTACTGTACAGGTTTCTGTTTTACACTCACTTGGCAGGATGGTAGTACCTCCCTGGGTGGCTGCTGTCTACAAACCTACTACCTAAAATAATGTAATTTATATGCAGTAAAACATTGTTAGGCACAAAAGAAAGCCACTAATGCAATTCAGGCAAGTAGAATTTCTTATAATTTCTTATATTAACAATAGTGAAGATTGACTGTTTGTATTCTACCACTCTTCACCTGTCTAGACTTGAGTAGTCTATAAGTATTAGGTTAAGTCTGCCTGAAATGCCTGGGCATGATAGTGGTTTTCTTTGCTCCATTCATACTATATGTAAACACACATTGTAACCTTAACAAAAAAATAAATATTTTATTTTATTTTATTTCTATGGTGTGAAGAAGTATTTCCATTCATTATTATTATATTCATGGGAAGTGCTAAATCCACAAGGTTCATTCAATGGAACATGGCAGAGGTGAACAAGATTTCAGAACAGAAGAGGTGGAGGTGTTAAGGGGAGGGACATGAACAGAATGGGAAGGGGAATAAGGGGAAATGCAGTTAAAAAATTCTGCAATAAAGGTGGAAGTCTCAGAGAGCAACACAAGCAGAGCAGCCATGTCAGTCACCAGCTAAATGTCAAAGCAAATCTGATAAAAGGGACAAAAATTACCCTGTTTGTTATTACCTTCTCCATGTTCTCATAGTCTAGCTTAAAGATCCAGAGTTGTAATCTGGCGGGAAGTTCAGATATGGACAACAGCATCATAAGAAACTGTTCTGCCGACCCCAGAGGAAGGTATGGGTTGTAAATGGTGGCTTCGTGAATCTTGTGCTTCTCTTCTGGTGTTGGTAACATTGTAGTCAATAATTTCTGCAAGATAAGAAACACTACGTCACTACGTCATTTTTAGGTTCTGGGTATACCTAGAGAGGGTTTTGGGGGTCTATGACCAGGCTTCGTGGTGGATCAGGGCCTGATCAAGCAGGCTGTAACTGCTGGCAGCATATAGACTGATATAGGAACCACAGCCTGGCCGGTCATGTACTGACTTTATGTACCTGTCCAGTGTCTTCTTCAAGACAGCCAGGAGTCTCTTACCAATAGAAATAAAATAGGCCTAATTATTATTAATAAATTATAGAATAAATCATTAAATTATTACGAGGACTTACAAGCTGACATCTGAACAGTGTACAGGTGTACAAGCATACAAGTGTACAGGTGTACAAGTGCACAGGTGTACTAGTGTACAGGAGCACAAGTGCAGTAGGGTCTCGCCTCACGGTGTTCCGCTAATTCGGCAATTTCAAATTACGACCAAAACTTGCTATATGGCGAGTGGTCTTTCAAATATGGCATGCCCCACCCGGTTTGTTTACATTCTCCGTGAGCTCATCTCTCTATTATGTCTGGAAACTTTCCAAACTTTCAATTGTTTTAAAGTTATTGAATATTTTATATGTACTCTGATAATTATACTTATGTGTACCTGTACCTAAATATGCTTACACACTGTGCTGGCATGCAGGTACACATTAAAATCACTGATAGTCTCTCTACTCTTAACATAATACGTAATGCCTTGGGTGCAATAAATGTCTTATATTACATTAATATAGACATTTCCAATAATCCATCTATGATATTCTTTTCAAAATTATATAATAAACAAGCTATGTAACATATAAACATAATAAATACACCCCACAGTAGAATAAATTAACATAAATATGAGATGTGGAAGCCAGGCGACTTGCTGGACTTGTGGTAGCCAGGCGACTTGTAGGACTTGTGGTAGCCAGGCAACTTGTAGTCCAACATCACAAAAAATGTATCACTATAATATTACTGGGTGTAACTAGAAAATTATTCCTTTCGTATGCCTTCACTCAGAGTGTCATTTCTTCTAAAAATGGTGTTACAGGAGAATGGGAGTGTTTCTCCTTATTTATTCTACTGTATCAATGTGGAGACAACTTGTACACAATGTAAAGTGATGAAAACCAGACGTGTTCACCTGGTTTGTTTACATTACGTATGGGTGGGGTGGGGAGCTCTGCCTTGGCTGGCTACCACCTGACTTCCTACAAATAAAACTCACCTTTCACCCTACATTAAAACTACAAATATTTTAAGTTAATTAATGAATGTGCTGTATGTGTATTTGATCGCTCTGGGGCGCTTCAATTAAATGTCGTAGTATATTATGTGTGGGTGGGGTTGGCTGACCTGGCTGGCTACCAAACTTCCCAAACCTGACTTCCTACAAATAAAACTCACCTCTTGCCCTACATTAACCCTTTCAGGGTTTCCGACGTACTAGTATGGCTTACGCACCAGGGTTATTGACGTACTAGAACCTAAATTCTAGCGCCTTCAAATCTAGTGAGAGAAAGCTAGTAGGCCTACATATGAAAGAATGGGTCTATGTGGTCAGTGTGCACAGTATAAAAAAAATCCTACAGCACACAGTGCATAATGAGCAAAAAAAAACTCCGACCGTGTTTTTGGTTTAAAACAGCGACTTTGCAGTGTATTTTTGTATGGTATTTATGGTTGTATTCAAGTTTTCCTGGTCTCATTTTATAGAATGGAAGACATATTACAGAAATTTAAATGATTTTGATTGGTTTCATAATGAAAAGTACCTTGAAATTAAGCTCAAAGTAGCAGAAATGTTCGATTTTTTCCCAAATTTTAAAGTAAAAAATTCTCCAAGCATCCAATACACTCAACTGGTGAGTCTAATATTCTTTCTTTCACAAGTCACTGATATTTTTTATACCATTTCTATACCACTTTCACTAAGCAGTAATCTGCCAACATAAATTTCTTTTTTTTGTGAGAAAAAAAATTCAAAGTGGAAAAGCAAGAAGTGTAAGAGGGGCCGGGGCATGACTGTAACAAGAAAGTGTTTTTTAGTGCCAGGAAGTCTGTCTTGCTTATTCTAAACCTTTTTTGGAAATTGGCATTTTTCAAAAATTTGGGGTTGAAGAAAAGAAAAGGACACAAGTGCAACTAATGTGAATTTTTTTTTGGCAACGTTTTTCTCTCCAGGGCTTTGTCAAACCATTACAAACGACAGGGCACAGAGGGTATATATAGGTCAGAGTGAGGTGCAATACTAAGGGAGTAGTAATGATATAAGTTGTAGTAGTAGTGTGTGGTAGTAGTAGTAGTAATACAAAATGGGTAAAACAATTAACCGCACATGAGTAAAAGGAATAAAAACTATTACTTGGGGGAACGTAAAAATAGGGTTTGACAATATTTCTAACACCAGAGCGCCATCGCTTCCAGCATTCAAAAAAAGGATTTATCCTGGGCAAAATCAAAAAACCATGAAACAGTCAACAGGGGTTTTTTCCATACCCTGTGGAGGCTGCGACAAGATTTTGTAGGTGAAACAGCAAAAACCTCGGAACCCGCCCCAATGAACACATTTATGCATGTAGGGAAAGATAACTTGAACAACGCCCGTTTTACAACAAGAAGTTCCAAATCACTCATGAAATTCAGGATGCCCAAATTGTGCCCCAAAGAACTAATTTCGCAGCGCAAGTGCCTTGAATCATTTAATTGCTGTTTCGAATACAATTTTAAAAAAAAAAGGCACTTTACCCTCTCTGAAGTCTTAGCAAGAATCCTACTAAAAAAGTAAACCCCGCCATCCATAGTCCTCCCGTTAATACTACCAAAGCATATTTACAGTGAAACAGGCCTTTCTATCCAGCTCCAACGAAATATCTGTCTAACCTATTTTTTTTGTTAGCCCAAATAAAAGCTTTTATATCCTTTTATCATGTGCAAGTTTAATTTTTCTACCATACTGTAACTACTACTACTACTACAACTTATATCACTACTACTACCACTAGTATTGCACCTCACTCTGAGCCTATATATACCCTCTGTGTCCATGTACTGTTTGTCACGGCTTGACAAAGCTCTTGGAAAGCGAAACATTGCCACAATAAAAATGTCACATTAGTTGCACTTGTATCCTTTTACTTTATATACTGTCGGTAACTCTACCAACATTATTAGATTGTGTGAAATTGGCAAAATTGCCAATTTCTGACCACTTTATTGAATACTTGAAATCGGTAAATGGGTGGTTTCTTGTACTCATTCGATAGAAAAAATGAAGTTCTAGTGAAATAGATATGATTGTTGTCGACTAGTACACTGAAATTGGCTGAAAACAGGGCTCACATTGGGTGAAATCGCAGACGCGTCAACATCGTCGAGACCGCTAACTTCACAAGAGCATAATTCCCTAAGTTTTCCATCAAATTTCATACTTTTGGTGTCATTATGATCGGGTAAAGATTCTCTATCATTTCATAAGAAAAAATAATTTTTTTTTTCCAAAAAATGTTCGACCCTTAGAACGAGTTTAGGAGAGGGCCTCTTGACCCTGAAAGGGTTAAGACTATAAATATTTTAAGGTAATTAATGAATGTAATGTACAGTGGACCCCCGCATACTGTCGGCATCACATAACGTTCAATCCGCATACCGCTCGCTTTTATCGCAAAAATTTTGCCTCGCATACCGCTCGAAAACCCGCTCACCGCTCTTCGTCCGAGACGCGTCCAATGTGCGCCCTTAGCCAGCCTCACATGTGCCGCCGGTGGCATTGTTTACCAGCCAGCCTCCGTGGTAACATCCAAGCATACAATCAGAACATTTCATATTATTACAGAGTTTTTGGTGATTTTATCTGCAAAATAAGTGACCATGGGCCCCAAGAAAGCTTCTAGTGCCAACCCTACAGCAATAAGGGTGAGAATTACTATAGAGATGAAGAAAAAGATCATTGATAAGTATGAAAGTGGAGTGCGTGTCTCCGAGCTGGCCAGGTTGTATAATAAACCCCAATCAACCATCGCTACTATTGGTGGTACAGCTGCTGCTGCTGCTGTACCACCGTCAGCTGCTGCTGCTGCTGCTGCACTGTCAGCTGCTGCTACTGCTGTAGCACCGTCAGCTGCTGCTGCTGTGTACCACCGTCAGCTGCTGCTGCTGTAGTACCGTCTGCTGCTGCTGTAGCATCGTCTGCTGCTGCTGTAGCACTGTCAGCTGCTGCTGCTGCTGTACCACCGTCAGCTGCTGCTGTAGTACCGTCTGCTGCTGCTGTAGCATCGTCTGCTGCTGCTGTTAGCACTGTCAGCTGCTGCTGCTGCTGTACCACCATCAGCTGCTGCTGTAGTACCGTCTGCTGCTGCTGTAGCATCGTCTGCTGCTGCTGTACCACCATCAGCTGCTGCTGTAGTACCGGTCTGCTTTCTGTTGGCATGTGCGGGGTTGAATGTCTGCTGCTGCTGTAGCACTGTCAGCTGCCTGCTGCTGCTGCTGCTGTAGCACCGTTGTTGGTGGGGCTTATTGAGAATACAAAAAAAACAATTAACCCCAGAGGATTTGCCCCCCAGGATAACCCAAAAAAGTCAGTGTCATCAAAGACTATCTAACTTATTTCCATTGGGGTCCTTAATCTTGTCTCCCAGGATGCAACCCACCCAGTCGACTAACACCAGGTGAACAGGAAAAATGCCTGGAACTAGTGCTCATATTGGTGAATTTAAAGCCAGCAAAGGTTGGTTTGAGAGATTTAAGAATCGTAGTGGCATACACAGTGTGATAAGGCCTGTTCTGGAAGAAAATGCCAAACAGGACCTACAGTACTCAGGAGGAAAAGGCACTCCCAGGACACAGTGTCTCATCAGTCATTGCTGCATCTTCAATAAAGGTAAGTGTCATTTATTCTACATTTAGTACAGTAGTACATGCACAACATATATTGTGCATGTACTACTTTACTATTGTACATGTATCCTTCTCTTTGTGTATAGGAAAATGTATATTTC